CCTGAGGTCCAAAAGGTTGGGGACCCTTGATCTAGAGAAAAGAAGAACTAGAGGTGACATGATAGCAGTATTCCAGTATTTGAGGAGCTGCCACAAAGAAGAGGGGGTCAACTTAACTTTCAAAGCACCTGATGCCAAGACAAGAAACAATGGATGGAAACTAATCAAGGAGAGAAGCAACCTAGAATTAAGGAGAAACTTCCTAATAGTGAGAACAATTAACCAGAGGGACAGCTGACCTTCAGAAGTTGTGGGTGCTTCATCACTGGAGATTTTTAAGAAAAGACTGGACAGTCACTTGTCTGAAATGATATAGGGGCTCCTGCTTGATCAGGGAGCTGGACTAGAAGACCTCCAAGGTCCCTTCCAGCTCTAGTCTGATTGATTGAAACAATGATGTGCTCACCTGCATGTGAGAACTATGATTATTTATTGTCTTCTTTGCTGATTTCAATGTAGATAGACGTTTATCTCATTGTTGTGACTCAACACAGATAGTAACAATGAAAAAATCATAACTCAAACAACATAATACACGAATTCAAGTTAAAACTAAAAACAAACTTCAAAATCCAATATTAACAGAATGTGTACCCCTCCTCAGTCCTTGAGTGGTGATGAAATAGGTGTTAGAAAGGAATGTAGTGGCTCCGCCCACTATTCTTTCAGATATCATACAGATCTCTCATCCAGCACTCACACATTCTAATGGTATGTGGGGATGGCCTTGAGAGATGGAGGGAAGAGCTTCGACTAGTGCCATAGTGGGATAAGCAGCAGCTTAGCCTGCAGAAGGAATGTGGACATGGCAAACATTTCAGAAAGGACCCTCCCTAGTCTCTTGAGCTGTAAAGGTGATGGGGGAGAAATGTACTTTCAGACCTGCAAGCCTTTGTTACTGCAATTTTACAATAAAGTAGAATTACCTCATCTGGGCATGCTTCCTGTCTTGACTGCCTTGCAAGGTTTACATATAGAATAATAGAGTTGGAAGGGACCTTGGAGGTCTTCTAGTCCAACCCTCTGCTTAGGCAGGAAAACCTACACTTCAGACAAATGGTTATCCGATCTCTTCTTAAAAACTTCCAGTGTTGGAGCATTCACAACCTCTGGAGCAGTGGTGGGATTCAAATTTTTTTACTACTGGTTCTGTGGGCATGGCTTGGTGGGCACGGTGTAGCTTGGTGGCCATGGCAGGGGAAGGATATTGCAAAATCCCCATTCCCTCCACACCCCACTAACCTGGTTTCCAGCTCCGTTCTCCTGGGCAGGGCAACCAAAGAAGACCCAGCAGATCAGTTGGGACTCAGGAGACAGATCTCATACAGACCTCCCATCCATGGGGGCGGGGCCAGTCAGAGGTGGGATTTGCCGGTTCTCCGAACTACTCAAAATTTCTGCTACTGGTTCTCCAGAACTGGTCAGAACCAGCTGAATACCACCTCTGCTCTGGAGGCAAGATGAATTAATTGTTCTGTCAGGAAATTTCTCCTTAGTTTTAACTTGGACAAACATCCTTGCCAACAGATTTTTCTCAAGGGAAGATGGACAGAAAAAGGATTTAGGTTGCATTGCAGTCTTGCTGTGACCCTAGTTTGTCTTTGGATCCTGTCTCAAATAGTTGGGCTATCCTCCTCCAGCTCCCCTTTTAAATTCCCAAATAACAGCACAGCTGAAGACACTCGTTCCCATAATAGTGACCTTCTCCCTCCTTGCTCACCTTTGTTTTTGCACCAAAGATTTATTAGATACTTGAGAAGCCTGCCAGCTTATCAGATAGCCTTAATGGTGTCATTTATTATTATGCTACTATTTTTTTGGTGAGAGGGCAAGGCCGCCTACTCTCTATTCAGGCAGCAACAGCCAAACTAAGCCATGTCAGAAAATGATGGGTGCCTTGAGTTTGGCTCTCAAGTGGCTGAGAACAAGCAAAGAAAACATGGCCAAAATGATGAGTGACACAAATGCTGAGAATGTGCAGATTTATGCATGTATTGGACATGTACACCCACCACAAACCCTTGGTCTCTGTGCACACATGCACAGACAATCTGTTCATTAATCCTAACATTTCCTGCAGAGGAACCTGCAAACCATGGTTGCAGCAAGTTTAGTCCTTGGGATCTTTATCATTTTTTTTTAAGAGTAATAAAACATGGCCTCTGGAAAGCAATAACCATTCACTATATATCAGGGCTGGATGGCTCACAACCAAAGGTCAACATGTAACCAAAAAGCAATGGAGGGCAACTAATCACAAAGAGAAGCAACCTAGAACTAAGAAGAAATTACCTACCAATTAGAACAATCAGTGGAATGACTTGCCTCCAGAAGTTGTGAATGCTCCAACACTGGAAGTTTTTAAGAAAAGATTGGACACCATTTGTCTGGAAGGGTATAGGTCAGGGGCAGGGGTGGGATTCTACCAGTTCGTACCTATTCACTAGAACCGGTTGTTAACATTCTAAGCAGTTCGGAGAACCGGTTGTTAGAAGAAATTACTGGCCTAATCCTGTAAGGAAGGCAGGAAGGAAACATTCTGGTGTTGCTTACAGAAACTGCCTCTCCATTAACCCTTATTACATTCTTGGCAGGACTAGACTTCCTGTCTCAGGAACCTCTGTAGAGTTTTCTTTCCCTCCTTTGCTGGTACTTTTCTTGTGTGGTGGGACCATTGAAAAAAGTGACTTATGATTGTTGAAGCATCCCCACAGTCACGAGAGGCCAGGCGAGGAGATGCATGCCTTGATGTGAGTGATGTTGAGTTGGCCACACCCAGCCAGTCACAGGACCACCAAGTCACACCCACCAACTAAGCCATGCCCACAGAACCAGGTGTTAAAAAATTTAAATCCCACCCCTGGTCAGGGGTATCAAATTCAAAGCCTGCAGGGTGCTTAGATCTGGCCTGCAAGGCCACCAGTGGTGGGATTCAAAATTTTTTTACTACCGGTTCTGTGGGCGTGGCTTGGGAGGGGAAAGATACTATAAAATCTCCAGTCAGATGTGGTATTTTGCGGTTCTCTGAACTACTCGAAATTTCTGCTACTGGTTCTCCAGAACTGGTCCGAACCTGCTGAATCCCACCTCTGAAGGCCACCCTGGAAACAGTAAAGGACCAGCCTGTGACGCCTCTGACAGTGAAAATGGAGCTCGGGAGAGCCTCATGTGGCAGAGTGCTTTGGCCCCCACATGTGCCCCCAACATGAGTGATGTCGAGCTAGCCATGCCCACCCTGGCCAGGCCCACTCAGCCCCTGAGGTCAAACACAATCTTGATGCAGCCCTCAATGAAATCAAGTTTGACACCCCTGGTATAGGATTTCCTGCCTGACCAGAAAACTTTCAGGATCCCTTCCAACTTTGTTATTCTACATATATTCTAACCCTTCTGCCCGGTTTTCTCTCTAATCCCTCAGCCTCTCCTAAAATAGCAGTAACAAACAACTGAATTATGATGTTATGGTTTCCGACCACTCTGCAGTTGAAAAATAAAAAGAAGTAGGGGTGTTGAACTTCCTACAGGCTTCAACATCACCCAGCTCAGTCCCAGTGGGGTATGCATGACAGCCAATCAATAAAAGTGGGTTAGTCATTGCAGATCCACACCAGCTCACAATGATGCTAACGCATCACACCACTGTGTTCCCTGCAGCTGGCAGTTGTTGAAAAATTCATTTGTTAAAAAGAGTAACTTCCACTTTCAAAAGGCTGCCTATCCTGGCATTGATGGATGGATAGATGACCTGGCATCCAGTTGGGGTTGATTTTCAGTGATGACATAGATTTTCTTATGACAATCTAACCCTTAGCTTGATCCCTCAGGTCTTCCAATGGTGCCTCCGTTATCACTGTAACCGAGTCCATCCACCTTGTTGCTAGTCATCCTATTTTTTTTTCCTTTCCTTCCACCTTTCCCAGGATTAAAGCCTTTTTCCAGAGACCTGGGTCTTGCTAAATGAAATGGTCAATTAAAAAGCCACATTTGTTTGACTTGAGCTGTTGCAAGGCAGTTTCTTGTATTTAACCTGGTTCAGACAGGCCATCTCCCCTCTTCCTGCCTCTTTCATGCTGCACCTAATGTTTTACTGATACTGTTTTAGAGAGTTGCTTGAGGGTAGCAGCTGATGGAAGACCACCTGCACACTAGCTCCAAGGATGGCTACTCAGCTGATCCCTTGTGCAACTGTGTGCTGCCAGAAGCAGCATTTATATTCTACGCCCCACACATAAGAATGTGAAGTACTGCATAATCTGCAGCAAAGTAATTTTCTCCCTGGTGAGTTATGAGGTAATAAAGCAGTGGGACGATCAATAGGGACTGATGTAATCTGGTGAAAAGCAGCCTCTGTCTTCCCAAGTGTGACCCAGAAGGAGAAACGGCCTTTGGACTGGAGGGATTGTTGGTGTGGGGACGACAATTTTAAAAGCTGCAACTCAGTATTCCAGAGCAGTAGGAAGTAATGCGATCCCTGGACCAATTCCCTGCCTGTTTGCCTCTTTCCACAGGGGAAAACAACCACAACAGAGCAGCAGTTCCAGTGTTTTGCCCCGTAACTTCTCATTCATGCTGCAAAGTCTGCCTGTTGCAGGCAATCAAGTAGATGGAAAACTACGTGGTAGTTACGAAGACCTTGCAACATAGAGCATCGATGGCTTCTCTTTGGACACAAAGCTCTGCAGGATCAAAGGCGCATCTTCTTCCAAAGCAAATGGCTGATAGACGAGGAGGAGGAAAAAGTGACTAAGAGAAGACACACAGGAATTTTTTCTTGAACACCTTGGAATTTTGGCAATATATTTAATGTAACAGATATAATTTGCATGGCTGGATTTGTGATCAGACAATTTGCTCTTAAACAGTATACTTTTCTTCCAATGTTGTTCCAATCCTGTTCCAAACGTAGGCATTGTAGGCATTTTGCGGGGGGACAGGACAGGTTTAAATGCCTTTATTAGAGTAGAAAATGAAACTTCACCTGCTTTCATCTATCATACCATCCTTCCTTCCTTTTATTCTTTGTGTGTGTGTGTGTGTGTGTGTGTGTGTGTGTGTGTATGTGTGTGATTCATGGGCTTTTACGAGGTCAAGATTTTCTTTCAACCGTATGGCTGCACACGGAGACTGCCTGCTTCTCCTTCCTTCTATAATGATATGCATTAGTTTGTCAAGCTCTCAGCTTCCCTGCTACATTTGGGAGCTCTCCTTCTTAGGCTGCTGGAGAGGATTACAGATTTCTGCCCTCTGCTCTATCCTACCAGCCCTCTGGCTTTCAGTCGGCAGCAAGGAGCACAAGTCATTTTTCACACAACTTTGCTTCTTGCTGAGCAATTAATGGGGCTTCTAGGCTACAGGTTGCTTCATCTTCCTGCAGCCTACGGGAATCCAGGCTCTCTCTTGGCCAGGTCCCCTTGTGAATGAAACTCAACCTGACCTCACAAAGTTTGCCAACACATCATACTCAGTGCCAGATTCTTCTCTGAGGACTGAGCATTGGAAATCTAAGTGGATCTCTTTGGGATCTTGGCCTTCAGGAGGCGGCATTGCTCATCCTTCCTTGCCTTAATCCGAAGAAAGGAAAAATAGACGGTGGTTGAACTTCTAATCATTCTAAGAGCTAAACAGCCCTTATGAATTTCCTAAACTGAATGAACACGGCACCTTCAAACTGTACAATGATTTAATGTGGTAGCCTGGTTCAACCAAACTTTTCAGGCACAACATTGTTTTACTGATTTCTGGTTTAGCCATCTGGCTTATTTAGAGCTTAGTAAATGGAAATCCACCATAGCATAGAATAGTTTTAAAAACATGCAAAGAGCATTAGCAGGAAGGAGGACAAATAATTATGGATAGAGCAGCAAACATGGGAAGGATTTGATTTCTTCTGTTGTAAACAAAAGAAAATGCTTCTATAGACTTCCAATTTGACCAAGTGGCAAGGCACATCTTAGGCGACTTTGTTTTTTGTGGCATGTGGATATCATGGTTTTAAATCCATCTCACTCCTCTGATAAAAAAGATTTTATCATTTTGGGCAGGCAGATTTGCCTAATGTAGAGGTGAAAACCTAATAAAAGTACACCGTGAGCAGCATTTTCACTCTCAAAACACTTTAAAGGCTTTGGGAGATATAAAAAAAATTCCACCCAGGGATTCTAATGAATGATTATCTTGTCAGAACAATATAATTGAGATTTTGGAAGGAGGCAGGAGGTTAAGTGGCATGCCCCTGTATTATACTTTGCCCTTATTAAATCATCTGATACTGGTGCCTCATTAAAATTGTAACTAAAAATGTAATTGGCTTGGAGAGCAGCAAAATGGATTGAAAATCACCTAAAAGGCAATGGCAAAAATAGAAACCTAGAGTGGACCGAAGGAAGTGGAGGCAGGAATGGGCTGTGTAGTTGTAAAACAAGAGCCCTGGTGGCGCAATGGTTAGAATGCAGTACTGCAGGCTACTTCTGCCGACTACCGGCTGCCAGCAGTTTGGCAGTCCAATTTTCACCAGGCTCAAGGTTGATCCAGTCTTCCATCCTTCCAAGGTCAGTAAAATGAGAACCCAGATTGTTGGTAGCAAGAGGCTGACTATCTTCTAAACCAGTGGTCGCCAACCAGTGGGCCGCGAGAAAATTTTGGTGGGCCGCAGAGAAATCCCACCCCCAGAGCACCATCCCCCAAACAATTAATCCAGGCTGCGCAGAAACACAAGGCTGTGCCGCCCACATGGCCCATGGGAACCCTCCATGCCCCCTAACTCTTTACCCTGCAAACTTGCCTGCTAAATTGCTATTTTTCCTTTTTCCTACCATCAGCTGTTCTGCTGTGCCGGGAGATTAAGATTAGCTAGAATGCAGGAAATGGTTGGATTTCTTGCTTTCTAGCTAGTCTTTAGATCTTCGGCTCTGCATTTAAGCACAGCCAAACCTCCTTTTAAACTGAGGGTTCTATTATTCAGTGCAGGCTCACGGCAAGCAAATTTAATGTGACAGACTGAGTTAGCCGATGGCAGATAGATCACTGAATGATTGTGTGAGCAACTCAATCTGCCTGTTTTGCCTGATTTTGGGTAAAAGTTGCTCTTTCTTTAGTAAAAAAAGTCAATATTTATATAAATATTTATAATATTTCCATACAAGCCATGCCCAGCCAGTCACATGATGACCAAGCCACACCTACAAATTAGGCCATACCCACAGAACCAGTTGGTGGTCCCTGGGATTTAAAATTATGAGCTTGGTGGTCCCTGAGGTCCAAAAGGTTGGTGACCCCTATTCTAAACTGCTTAGAGAGGACCATAAAGCACTGTGAAGTTGTTTATAGTGGTAGTTCTAAGTGCTGTTGCTATTTTATGTGACAGAATGCTGGAATTAGCATTGTGACTGACCTGATTTTATTTCTGCAGTAAAGTTCTTGTGGAAGAAGGAAGGGGAATATTGATGAAAGTCAGATATTTATAGGATGACATCTTGCATATGAAGATCAGCCAAGAAAATAACAATAATACAAAGTCAGAAGGTAAGTGGGGCCTGAAAATAGCTCGGTGAGGCTGTTCGAAGGAGAGCTGAGAAAAGATTTTGGATAGAGCAACTGGAGAAAAAAAAAACGTCTGGATAGGCAATGCAGGATTTGAGTCCTGAAGTCCAAAGATATCACTAGTTTCAAGCTGAGAATCAGGCACTTTGGGTGATTACGTTGGACTAGTCCAACGTAACCATTCCTAGTTTGACTATGGAGAAATGTCCTAGCTGTGAGATTCAGTGGAACAACTTGCCTTCAAAAGTTGTGGGTCATTGATGGGTATTCAGCAGGTTCTGACCAATTCTGGAGAACCGGTAGCAGAAATTTTGAGAAGTTCGGAGAACCAGCAAATACCACCTCTGACTGGAGACTTTATGGTATCCTTCCCCTGCCACGCCCACCAAGCCTCATCCACAGAACCGACAGTAAAAAAATTTGAATCCCACCACTGTTGTGCTGTCCAGACAGTTTAGAGTTAATGGGATTTGGGATAGTTAGTTAGGAATTGTGAGCTGTTTCCTAAAGGGAATGCATCATGGTAAATGTAGTTAAGGTATCCTGGGAAATGTAGCACATGTCATGTGGCCGCATCTGTAACCCTGATTGGTCACTGGTTTCTTCACTCTTGCCTGAACACACAGCCTCGTGGTAGCAGCTACACCCTGCCTCTACGATATGGGATGAAAGAGATAACCATCTTTTTACCCATAAAGACAGATATGCAAAGGATTGGACATTAAGAAGAACCTTGGCATATCTGTGAGTTGATGGAGATGCCTGATGAACCAATAAAAAAGAGACTTTGTATGGATGCTTTGTGGAGTTATCTATCTGCCTTTGTACAGTATTTGTACAGCATTTGTACAGGACACGCAAAATAGTTGTGAGTACTCCATCACTGGAGGCTGTAAAGAAAATAGCCATTGGACAGCCATTTGTCTGCAATGTTATAGGGCAGTCACAGTGATGGCGAACATTTTCAGCACCGAATGCCCAAAGCATGTGTGCACGCATACCCAAAATGCAGTGTGCTCCCCCTGCCCATGCATGCACAGACCACATTCATATGTGCACGCCCCGTGCATGCACACACGCCATGCCTGCGCCCCCTGCCCCCTGAGCATGTGTGGCAGAGACCTGAAGACCTGCTGGACATGTGCAGTGGAGCCAAGCTGGGGCGGCAGTGCACATGCTCACAGAGAGGGGGCTCTGTGTGTCACCTGCGGCATGCGTGCTATAGGTTCGCCATCACAGCTATAGGGTCTCCTGCTTGAGCAGGGCATTGGACTAGGAAACTCCCAATGTCCCTTCCAACTCTGATTTTCTGACTGTCAAGAATTCAAAACCATGGCCAGCTCACTGTGAAACTGGAAGAAATTAGATGACCTTGTAAGCAGGGTGGGATTCAAAATTTTTAACAACTGGTTCTGTGGGCATGGCTTAGGTGGGTAGGTGTGGCTTGGTGGTCATGTTATTGGCTGGGTGTGGCCAACTCAATATCACTCACATCGAGGCACGCATCTCCTCACCTGGCCTCTCATGACTGTGGAGATGCTGCATCAGTCGTAAGTGTGAAAAATGGTCATAAGTCACTTTTTTCTTCTCCTCTGAAAGGAACTTTCGAGTTTTCTCCACTCTATTTTTTCAGGATGACCCCCATAGAAGACAAAAAAGCAGCACTATCTTTCTGCCCCCTGCTTCTTTGGAGGACCCAGGAAGGACAGTTCTGCCTCCCAGGTTGTGCAGGTAAAGCATTGTTGGTGTCTGGTTGTCTCTCCTGACCGTTTTCTGATCCCAGGATGGTAGATGGATACAGATCGAATCCCTCCAAGTATGTTGTAGGTAAAATCATTAAGAGGGCAATCGTGGCTCCAATTAATTATAAAGAATGCATGCTCCAAGAAAGATAACATAGAAGGATCAATTTCAGAAATCTGAAAGCTTTTTTTCCCTTAGGCTATAAGGTCTTTTATGTCAGAAATGCTGTTTTTCTTTTCAAAGAATTGAAGTACAAGAATTTCTTTCTGAATCCTTCTGGAAAGAGCAACTTTCTCTCCTTTGCTCAGTCAGCGGGTTTTAGCTCTTAACAGGGAATAGAGAACAATCTTGCAAAACACCCAGGGTCTATGGTACCATATCAACAAGTGAACTGCATAGCCCCAAACCAAATTCAATTATCGCACCACCAAGAAAGCTAGTTCAGTTTTTAGCAGCCACGAGATAAATCAGTCCAATTATTTCAGTTGTTAATGGTCTCAGACCAGTTTCAAAATTATTTTCTTTAAATGGTTTTGGGAGGGAAAGAGAAAGAGAGGGAGTAGGAAAACAAATCCATCCCAGTGTGCCTGAAATGGAAATCAGGATTCTTTAATAATTGGGGAATAGAAATGCTGACAACTTCCAGGTCAAACAAAATGAATGGGATTATTGATTCTCAGTTCTGGGGCTGCAGGCAAAGACACAAGGAGAGAAGAAGAGATATTTAGGAATCCAGTCCTATGTTTCTGCCTAATGGCTACCCCATCCTATTATCTAACAGACCAACTTATGGATGATCTGTGATTTGGTTTCTTGTATGCAATCTTCAAGCAACCCACTTAGCTTTGCTCCTGAACAATTCGGTAACTCTGCGAATAAATAAT